CACCCTTGCCTGCCTTTTGCTTTGTTCTCCCACAGTAAATATAGCTCTATTAAGGAAAGAGTGGTGCATAAATCGAGTGTCTGAGATGAAAATATCATGGATTTTCAAAAAGAAGCAGCTACCATATCCTAAAATCACAATAGGAATGCTAAAAAGGATGTAAAACCATTGTGATTGAGCAGCAGAACTGGCTGTTTATTGAACATAGTTGTGCAGAATTAACTTAGATAACTTTTAATAAGTTGTGTTAAGATTTTGTGTACTATTATGGCATGTTTTTTGCACCAAACTGGATAGGGTTAAAGAATAAAATGAGTTTAAAATTGTCTAGTATCATTTTATTGTGTTGCCAAGTACTACGTACAAAACACGCTGTTAGCAATCTTGAACTCATTTAATCGGTTAATAAATTATTGTTTTTACTTCAAAATTTTCTTGTAGTTAGTAAACCAATTTAGCTTCATTTTGCAGGCAGACCAGCGTCATGTCTGTTGATTTTCTTACCAACTCATGGCTTGCTTGTGCCTATTTGGATGGTTTCAACCAGCTACCAATCAGAGCAAGACATCCTTGTCTCGTACAAAACTGGAGATCAAGAACATTCAATCGGTTCATAAAGAGATTTGGCTGGAAAATCTACGGACGCTCTTGTGGATTGAACTTAATTTATATTTAGATATTTCTCTACTGGATTCATGTATTAAATATTTATGATAAGTGAAAATTATTGTTATCCATTTATTTATTTATTAAACAGTATTTTCTTGCAGTCTATTTTTAGAGCGAGGGATGAGCATTCTTGCTTTCGAAGACCGACTTCATTATAAACATAAAAATATTGCTCTTTAAATTTGGTCTTTCAAATGTTTCAATTATTCAATAGTATTCAATAATATTCTACAAACAAATAGTTTTCCTCCTTAGACTGAAATGATTCGAGCACATTAAAAAATAAATAAATAATAATAATAATAATAATAATAATAATAATAATAATAATAATAATAATAATGATTTCGTAAAATTATTTCTTAAAAAATCAATTAACAACTATTTAGATATAAATTGATATTAACAACAAAATAAAATATTCAATAATTTAAGCCTTATTTCGTTTGATTACTCAACCAATGTTAATCCCAATTATATTATTATAAATAATAATACTATAAATAAATTGCGGGTAATTCATGCAGCCTAATTAAATATTGGGTACCAAAATTAGACTCCTTTTTCAGCTGCGATTCGTGTCCTTTCGTCTTTAATAAAACAAGAAATAATACTAATGTCAACAAAAACTATGGAAATATGTTGACTTGGTAAATAATATTACTACAAGATTCGTGTTAGGTTCGATCGTTTCTTTAAAATAATATGTTGTAGGTTTGACTTTATGTCTCTCTATGAAAATTTTTGAACTATATTATTGCAACGGGAACGCACATGTAACCGTAAATGTCTTGTGCTTAGGTAGTAAGTACATTATTATAGTTCATTAATGTTGAAAACATTTTATTCTAATGCAATAGTAAGTTAATGCGTAGATATATACCCAAAAAAGGGAGAAAAAATCAACAACAATAATACAAGTTACCTGAATAAAACTCCTAGCTACTCACTATTCTAATTAATATTAATTCTCCAATTGGAAAATTAGAAAAGTTCATCATAATAAATAATAATGACATTTTTAATAAGGTGGATTACACAATATTAAAAAATATAAAGAAAAGTAAATAAAATATGGTGTAGCACAATGTTCTTTCATGTCTAGTACCACCACCAAACATAATCTTTTTATAAATGGTTTGCAATTGCGAAGCCTCCGGGAATGGACAACCAGCCTCGCTGCATACTGAAATTTTCGTAAAATCTACGTAAAAATTTTGATTTTTTTTTTTAGTGTATACCTAATACATGCATATTTTTCCCCTTTAACATTTTTCGACCCCACCCACCCCACCTGCACCCCGCACCCACATCTCATATTCGACAACTATTATTTCAAAACTATTTAATTTTCATACTCATTTTCAACCGCACATTTTCACAATAAAAAATTTTGCACGAAAACTTAAAACTTTTCCCTACTTTTAATCACATATTATCCAAAAAATCACTATTCAAAACTCCATTTTTTCAAAATAATGGCATAAAATTCATCAAGCAAGTGGTCTAATCTAAACGTATCTTTAGCATGCATTACTGAACAAAATTTTAAGTTTATTTTCTTTTGTCTTTTTAACATTGTAGAATGCACCTCATCAAGCAAGACCTAAAAGATTTGTAGTACTCCCAAAATAGCATATAAATGCAAATAATCTATGTGTTTTTAACTTATTTTTATGTCACTTAATTAAGACATCAACATCAAATCCTTATTATATGAACATGTTTGATTGTGCTTAAAAATGACGTCTTTTGACAATGTATAAAATCATAAATTTCCAAAACAATATATTCAAAATCTAACTCCTTCAATTAAATCCCTGTTTGGTTTGGATAAAAATAGATTTTTTTAGCAGATTTTAAATAAAAATTGATAAAATATATGGTTAAAAAGTTTATAAAAGTTGTAAATTTCATAATGTGTAGTTGAAAATAAATTTAAAAAATGGGAGCCGAATAAGGACTAAATGAAAACAAATGCTCAATTTTGTGGGACTTTTTTAAATATTCAATTGAGTTTATTGTATTTGGAGAGTTTAAATTTGTAAGAAATTATAAATTGCTATAACATCGAACTGAGATCAATAAGACGTTAAGATGTAACCAATTCAAATTTAAATTTTACCTATCTAGACTTTTAATTGTTTGAGTTCGTGAGCATTTCAAATTCTAGAAATATTAATATTGAGTAATCCGAATTTAAATTAAATCATCAATGTTACCATAAATAAAAAAAAAAATTTCAAACATTATGACAAATAATGCAAGAGTGGAATGATAAAATTGACCAAATAATTTCTTGTACCAAAATTAAAATTCAACGTTGTCTTATTTATTAATTGGCAACTTGATGGCCTTTCATCATTTATTATCTTCTTCCATCAATCACTATTTCTTAATTTCCTTGTAACTTTTAATTAAAATCCAACATGGACAAGTAAAAAATAATTCGATTATAATTCAAAGTTCAACTTGTTTATTTTACGTTAAAGCGTATATTTATACGCTCTATAAACTAGATAAATTTACACACATATAAATCGTACATGTAAAGAAAATTTATTTTGTCGACCATCCACGTATAAGTTCAAGATTTTTGTCTATCCTATTTCTATGTTAAACTATTTAGCCCTTGTTTAGTTTAACTAAAAAAAAAATAAATTTTAAGTCAAAATCGATAATTAATTTTAACCATATATTTTATGAAATCGACAATTTTATCAATTTTTAATCACACAAGTTAAACGGTTGAATACGATACAAATTTATTTATTTGTATACAGACTTTAAAGCTCCCTCGACCCTAGGGTTAGGTCTTCCAAGGATGTAAAAGGTCACATGGGGTAACAAATGCTGTAAAAGGCAATTTTGTACACTGTTATTAATTTCTTCTTAACATATACAGCAAGTCATGTAAATAGGAAAATTATATCTTGATAGACTTCACCATTACTTTTCTTTTTAATCAGAATTTGTTAGGGCACAATAATGCTTCTTGTGACCAGAAATTAAATATAACTAAGAGCAAAAATGTGAGAAGCCCTGAGTACAAGTTTTTCTAGTGATTAATTAATGTACTTTCAGTTGATTCTTTAACTATCTTGTAGTTTCTTTATTTTTAGCTCCTCTTTGGTGTCACTTTAGAAAGTTGATAAAAAATCTAAATCAAAGTCAACAAAATTAATTTTAAGCATACATTTCATCGAATTTCATTAAAATCTACTAAAATTTTGATTTGTAGTTACATCAAATAGGGGCTTAATGAGAGCCGAATGAACTATGACGGGACGAAAGTCAAGAATTCTCTGTTTACACGTAGAAATTTATATAAACACGCTATAAACCACAATTAAGTGAAATATCATACCGATTATTTAATGAATTAGACTTTTCAACAATATCTTTAGGTTTATGAGTCATTGACGATAAAATTTTCAACTATTTTTGTTAGTGAGTTGTTGACCAGACAAACGTGACAAAAACTTCTTAATCATTGATACTAAAAGAAATAAAACAGCCTTCTCACCTTAGTTATAGGAAGAATTGGCCTTACTTAAGTCTAATCTACTTAAATTAATCCATAGTTAATATAGTTTTAGAGCTACATATTTCATACATGCTTCAAAAATCACTCTAAATTTGTCACAGTACAATTATTAGAAAGCTGCCTCGAAAATAATTTATCATCATTGAGGTGTCTATGGAAACAACAAGGTGTCACATCCCACAAACTCTCAAATTATAATAACACTATTCTAATATAACGAGGAATCGACAAACAATTAAAAAAAGGCTTTTGAAGACACGTTAAAAAATAAATGGTCATACCAAACAAACTTATGAAACTAAAAAATTATAATGAAAAACGAACAAAAATCACTTTCAACAATCTTCGCGAGAAATCTTCTCGAAAGCATTCAAGGGGTAAACAAAATGTACGAGGTAGGCGGTTGCCCGTGTTACTTTATTTCTCAACAATGAAACAAAGTGATCCAAAAGTTAGTTTCTTGCGCTTTTTTATTTCAAGTTTCTTCTTCATGGATTGATTGTATTTCTTAATTTATTTCATCTTTTGCTCCGGACTATATCGAGTAATGGAGTCATCTGAGTGCCATTTCATTTAGATGTTCAATTTGATGAACAACTCCGTGTAATTTCTGTGACATCACAGATTAATTTCAAAGCCACCATCACTGACCACCGACCCTTTATTACAACTCATACAATCACAGACTCTCTAAGTCAATCCTTCCACTTGTGTTTATATTTATGAACTGCTTAATTTTCTTCGTGTATCGATAATTAACTCAACTGCATAATCTCTCTCTAAGATGGGAAATGCAATTTTCCAATGTTGCAAACGAGAATCAAGTGCATCAGTGAAGTTAATATTCCAAGGCGGCGCCACCAGAATTCTTACAGAAAAACTCGTCGCCGGCGAGGTTATGTTCGAGTTCCCGGATCATATGGTATGCCATGCAGACTCATTCTTCATAGGCCAACCAATTCCTGCACTGGCCATTGATGATGAGCTCATTAAAGCTCAAATATACTTTGTTCTTCCCATTGATTACTTCCCATCTAACGTTCTTACAGCTTCTACTCTAGCCGCCTTAGGAAATCGGCCAAAGAGCGCTGCTGTGAGTTTCAAGGGGTGCCCTTTTGAGCACTTGAAGGGATCAGACGGTAGGGTTTCGATCAGGGTTTTGCCGGAATTTTTTATCAAACTGTTTACAGAAGGTAATGAAAATGAAGGTGAAGATTCCGATAGTCCCGCCGGTGGTAGTTTTCTGTGCAGCACGCCGGAGTTGCAGAAGCATTATAATCAATTGGTGGGGTCTAAGGATCAAGTTTGGTCACCAAAACTCGAGACCATTTCGGAGTATAAAATTAAGTACTCGCCTTGCAGATTCATAGGGTTGGAATGGAAGCAAAAGGAGGCAGGTAATTGATGTTCAGTTAAATTTAGGAAGTCCATTTCAAAGAGAGTGATTACTTTATCGACCTCCGTTCAAACTTCTTGATCTTCCGGTGTGGCAACGAGCTTGCGCTTTTTGGGTATTACTAAGTGGGATTAGACAATATTAGACATGACAAAATTGGCCTTCTTTAATAACTCTTAATTTATGTCACATTCGCGGTGTGACGTGTATCTTCCCCCATTCATCCAAATTTTTGGGATCACCTACTCGAAACCAAGAAAAGAATCTCTCGAGTTGTCTAATATATTGTTACATAAAGCATGTTAATTTTGTGCATAAATTGCTCTTTTCAATTTTAATGAATATATATATCTGTAAAAAAAAAATGTCTAGATTATGTGGACTGGATGAAATAATCGTTAATCATTAGCTTAATTCAATAATTAAGGTTTTCTCAGCAGAGATTAAGGACAGCTTGTTTCATAAATATATTAACTTTTGGATTATATAGATTTTTGAATGACTCTGTTGGTGAATATATAACAGAAAACTCAATTAAGTTCTACATTACAACATACAGTTAATGATGAAATATACTGATTTATCAAGTTATTGTGTACGTATAAAGATTAATTTCCCAGTTTTCTTGTTCTAGGTTGATATTTTACAGAAGATTATTGTCTCTTTATTTCTTATTCTTAAATGAACGGTTGAGTTAGAACTTTGCCAATTTTTTTTCCTTAATAAACTCTAGACTCCAATATGTTAAATTTATGTGAATTTAATCTAGTCTAATCTTCAAATTTTATACAAAGATCTGACTATCAACTAATTAATAACTTATACATTGTGCATTTCTATATTTTCGATAATTTAAGTAAACAAATGAAGATTAATGTTGTTGTATGATTGCAGGTACATGATTTCAATTAAACAAGTAGCTATTGAGTGGATTTAAGAGTCTAGATGTTTAACCCGTGTTTGGTAGTCATTTTTTTGGGGGAAAAGACATTGTTTTTAATAGTGAATTTTTGGAGAATATGTAGTTAAAAAGTAGGAAAAAATTTTGGGTTTACGTGTAGAATATTTTATTGTGTGAATGTGTGGTTGAAAATAAATATGTTAAAAAAAAGGGAGTTTTGAAAGAAGAGTTGAGATCTGTTGCCCGAAATTTGTTGTCCACTTAATGAATTAGGTAACACTTTAATGTAAAATGATGTATCAACCATTCATTGGTGGACTGCAAATTGAATAAGAAATTTTGGACAGTAAATTTCAACTCTCGAAAGAATGAGAGACAAATAGTGGCTCAATTGTTAATGTAACCATTCCTAACTCGTATTTGAATAAAGTAGAGTCTTGATTAAAATAGTATTAACTAAAAAATTAATAGAATTTAAACTATCGAATACCATCTTACAACAACTTTCCAAACAATTCATCATCTTGTGTGATATGACCCCCACATCAAATAACTACAAAAATATTATTCGACATATTAGAACTTGAACTACATCTCTTACCAATGTTGAACTTTTAAGATAAAACCTCAACTCTTAATTCTTACGACAACTATGAATTTGTCCCATGGTTAAGAGAAGCCTTTTGAGCTTGGGAGAACTAAAATGGACACTAATTCATTGTTTATCTAGTTTAGTTTAGTATAGATCTCAGAAATTGGTCAAGGGTATAACATCATATCTTACAATTTTCAGAAACATTATGAACAAATTCAGTACACTACTTGGGAAAAAAAATGACACTACTAGAGTCACAATCTTAATTTTATGCACCATGGAATGGAGACAATATGTTATTATGAGCCTGTTTGAGCCAAATTATTCCAAAAAAATACATTTTTAAACAATGATTTGACATCATTTCAACCATATATTCTTCAATAAAATAATATTACACGCAAATCAAAATCTTTTACTTATTTTTTAACCACGCATTTTCCATCAATACACTATTCAAGAATGCATTATTACCAAAATAATGTGACTCAAACACCCCTATAGTGTAATTGCGACAAGATGCATCCCATCTTTTTACCCCCCTTCATTGTGTTTTCAATACTCAATTTCCACTTAATTGTTTTGATGGACATCATTATTGTTTAATTGGACCTATATATTCATGATTTGGTCTAAGGCCCAACTGGCCCATCCTATGGTTAAGACCAGCCTTTCGAGTTTGGAAGCACTAAATTACTCACCGCCGAATTGTAACACTCTTTCGTAAACTTTCAATTCTAATTTTGCTCTCTAATAAAATGCGATTTAAACTGTATAACATAAAAATGAATCGAAATTGGACACAGGTAGGGGTGAGCAAAAAAAGGGAAAAACCAACCAAACCGATCAAACCAAATCAAGTCGGGTCAGTTTGGGTTGATTTGAATCAAAATTTTGGTTTTATTCGATTAATTTTAACCATTAAAAGTCAAGTTGGATTGGTTTCAGTTTAAACAACCAACTCATTAATTAACCCATCCAATCCGAAAATACATTTATTTATTTATTATTTTAAAAATCATTTTTTTTAAATGTAAAAAAACAAAATAATAAAAACATAAATATAATTTTATCTCAAATAATTTGTTTACTGTTTATATTTTTTCTACCAAAACTCTAAGTATCAAAGAAAAGCAGGCTAGAAGAAGAAGTGTTTGATGTAAACTTCAAATTTAAATTATAGCCTTGCCTTCATTTCGGTGTAATTATTTGTTGGTAGCTATTGGATTTGTATATACGATGACTTTGGAAAAATTGATTCTTTTATCGTTTACATTATATATATTATTGATATGCATTACGCAAGAAAAAATATTATAAAAAAATAAATTTTTAACCTAAAATAGGTAGACAATTTTTTTTACTCACACAAATTCCAAAGTTTGATTTGGTTTGCTTCGGTTCAATTTCAACGACTAAATTGAGTCGATTTTGATTGGAATTTATCCAAATCAATCAAGTCAGTTTCGATTCGAGTTGGACTCAAAATCTATTCAACCCGAACCATGCCCAGGCATAGATGCAGAGGTGGATCTAGGGAATCAGGTTGTGCTATAGCCTGTCCCTCCCGTCCAAATGTTAATTAAAAAAATCAAGTAAAAATTTTTTTGTGCAAGATAATTTTTTTTTTTTTCCATATTAGTTCGCCCTGAATTTTTTTCTGGATCCGCTGTTGATTGGACGGGATCGTATTCCCCCTCTTGACCTCGCCATTTGAAGCAGGACAGTCTCGAGGGACGTAGTTCGAATAATTTTGCCATATGTTACCCAAAAAAATTCTTTGAAAAATGACGATCATGTTTTGATTCATGATCGACGGTGGTGGAAATTGAGGGTTCTGTATAGTGATGCTGATGCAAAGCACAGGATTAAAGCTTCATTTCGTTTATCCAATAAAAATAAAGGTGTCTGCTGCGCCATCAATTGGCTGACGCGTGGAGCGGAGGGGCAGAGGATAATTAACGCCAAAAGCAATGCACTCTTTTACTTTTACCCAAGTGTATTCCACGCGCTTTTCAATTATCGTTTTTATTTTCTTTTTCTAAAAAAATAAAAATAGTAAGCCCTGTTTGTTTTTCATTATTTGCCCATTAAAATAAAAAATATAATAATTATTCATCACATTAAATCATCATATTTGACTTTATATCTTTTGTGTGAAGCCTATAACGATAATATTTTTTATTTTTATTTTTATATTAATGTGTATCAAACTAGACTTAAACAGAAAATGTAAGAGGGCCGTGTGATGCAAGCAGAAGCCAGAAGCGAGTGGGAATGATGGAGATAGGAACGGGACAAAAAGTACGGAAGAGGAAATCGCGGGATGTAATAAGGCGGGTTGTCTTTGCGCTGGGCTCGAGGCACTTACGCGCCTCGTTTTGCGTGAGTTGAAATCAGAAAATCATTGACAGAAGTAGTAGTAGGTCTAAGGCTCATGCACCTACGCTGTAACACACAAAAGCGACAGATGAGAGAGAATCACAGAGACAAGAAGAAGATTGCCATTTTTTATTTTTTATTTTTCTTTCTCTTCACACTTTTTATTTTTAATTTCAGACATTTTTAGAGAAAATTTTTTATCGATTTACTACGCCCGCTTGTCCCCTTTAAAAATCTTTAATTTAATTAAAATTTTTATTTCTATTATTTTCGATCACACAATTTTTAATAAAATAATATTACACGTAAATTAAAAACTTTTCATTCTTTTACAACCATCATATTTCAAAAAAAATATTCTTCCTCTCATTATAGACCCAAATAATGGGGCCAAACGGGGGCTACATATACGCTAGAGTTATACTCTTCCTCCGTTTGGACTACATTAATTTTCATTCCATTACATTTCATTTTTTTTATTTTCAACTACACAATTTTTCATGAAATAATATTACTTGTAAATCGAAATTTTTTTCTTTTTTTTTCAACTACTCATTTTTAAAAAAAAATTATTCCACACATTCTCATTACCACAAAATGGGGGACAAATGGGGACTAATGTGCACCCACCTCACTTTAGGGGGCCCACTGATACTTGGCCAGGGATATTTGTTCAGAAGCAGCTCATGTTTGTCGTGAGCATCCTTGAGTTGACACGACTTATTCATGTGCTTAGGGTTATATATGACCTGATTTAGTCTAAATGTGTCGATTCTGAGTCGATTATGATTGAAAAAATAAAATCTTTTTAACCCTTTATCCTTTTTGAATTGATCACATCCCTTACTCAGCTCCTAGTCACTCCAAAGGAATTGAGGAGATTAATTGATATAGCTGGTTATTGAGTAGATGCGAAAATGAACGTTTCTAATGACATGTGCATGGCTCATCGCATCTCTTAATCGGGTGGAAAGTCTAGAACTTGATGATCAAACTAAATTCGAGACAAGAGATACATTGATGGCCTCAAAATAGATTATATTGGATTGAGTTGGCGCTATTCCTAACATTCAATTGTTAGCTCCTCTTCAGTAATTATTAAAATCAGATTTTAATTTAAGTCAAAATCAAATAATCAATATTAACCATATATTTCATGAATCCCACAACTTTTGAACGGCACATTTTAAGAATTTCTATCAAAATCTACTAAAAATCTAACTTTAATTCTCACCAAACAGAAGCTTAATACCCTCTGTCAGTACAGAGCCAACCTAGTAGCAACTCTTGTTTTCGCGAGTGAGTTTTACTAGGTCATAAAGAGAGGAAAATAGAGAAAATAGAGAATAAGTTAACATTTACCTCCAATTTAGAGCTGATTAAATTCTAGATTTTAATCTAAATTAATGTCAATAATTAATTTTAATCACATAGTTTATGGATCCCACAACTTTTCAATCACAAATTTCATCAACCTCTATCAAAATTTACAAAAAATCTGATTTCAATCCCATCAAATATAAATTTAAGGATAAATCCATATGTATAGAATAACTTCTTACAAAATGTTGCCAGAATAGTCTCATGACGTGAGGTCCATCATGAAAAAAATTTGTCAAAAAATACCCCACTCACCCCCTATGCGTGTATTCTGACCGCATTTGGTGAAAATTTCTTCTGTACAT